CTGTTGATTCAGTCTTTCGAGATACACGCAAGCTGAAAACTGCCCAGCTTCTCTGTCATTTCCCTACTGATTCAGTCTTCCGAGATACAGATCCTTTATCTCTTCTGGTGCAATGGCCTCTTGATCCAAGACAGCCTTCACTACATCTATGTTATCATAAAGTAGCTTATCGCCCAGAAGGGCGACAGCTGCCAATCTAACCGTCTACTTACAGCCCTGCACATAAGCTAGGGTTTTCTAAATGCATATAAATCTATATATTTGGCTACTCTAAAAAATCATCTAATCCATAAAAACTGGGAACAAAATACCATCAAAATAACAACAGAATGTGAAAAAACAATTAAAATCTGCATGTAGAAAAATGTGAAACTTAAGTTCATAAAAAAGCTGAAGTCACAAAAAAACAAAAAACACCTACTATACACATAAAATGTTACTAAAATGATACTACAGTAAAACCTCGTTAACACGAACTCACTTAAGCATACGCAGGTAACATAAACCAAATGGTGGTTATCAGTCCTTTATAAGCATGCATTTCTTTAACATAAACACAATTTTAGGTCATTTGGAATTCGTATTAATGAGGATTTACTGTATAAATTATATACTCCAACAAAAAACCCTACATAATTCCACAAGATTCTCTCTTGCATACATAAGATGTTTAGATATTTTATGCTTATATGTGTACCACTACATACAGACACACTCACAATCACACGCATGTAATTATATCAGTCATAATACAGGAGAAAGCTCTGTCGCAGAAAGCACTGCTGTGTCTTTGGGAATACTGCAAGGGCCGCCCTCTAATCTCACAGTTCTACAATTGTGTACCTTACTTGGTCTTACTTACTTAATCTTCTACCCTGGGGTGTAAAGGCTTGCTGGAGAGATTGCTAGACTTCTCTATCAGCAGTTTTCCTTCTGGCTTTGTTGCACTGCAGTCCTCTGTCTGTCAGGGACTGTCTTCCCAGCGAACCCTAGGTCGGCCTGGTCCTCTGTCTGTCAGGGACTGTCTTCCCAGCGAACCCTAGGTCGCCCTGGTCCTCTGTCTGTCAGGGAATGTCTTCCCAGCGAACCCTAGGTCGCCCTGGTCCTCTGTCTGTCAGGGACTGTCTTCCCAGCGAACCCTAGGTCGCCCTGGTCCTCTGTCAGGGACTGTCTTCCCAGCGAACCCTAGGTCGCCCTGGTCCTCTGTCTGTCAGGGACTGTCTTCCCAGCGAACCCTAGGTCGCCCTGGTCCTCTGTCTGTCAGGGACTGTCTTCCCAGCGAACCCTAGGTCATCCTGGTCCTGTCTGTCAGGGATCGTCTTCCCAGCGAACCCTAGGTCACCCTGGTCCTCTGTCTGTCAGGGACTGTCTTCTCAGCGAACCCTAGGTCACCCTGGTCCTCTGTCTGTCAGGGACTGTCTTCCCAGCGAACCCTAGGTCGCCCTGATTTCCTAGTTCTTGGCCTCCATTGTGTGCCGTGGTTGCTGAGTCTCTCCTATTCTGCGTACATGTTCAAACCATCATAACTGCATAAATTTGTCTGAACCATAGTTAACTGTGACTGATTCACTGGAGTTTGTAAAGCCTGGGTTTTAAGATCATGGCGTATATCTGGTTCTGAACTTTGTCCCTTCTTGTCACTTGGACCACCTTTCTCCAATATCTCATTTCTCGGGCCCAAAGCGGGCTTATGTGAGCTGTTGTCGTTGCCTATGACTCACACCCGTGGGTCAGCACTGGCATATAGATAAAGCAGTCCTTTTCATCCTCTTGCCAGTTTATTTTTCCCTCTTGTAAAACGCCCAAATCCAGGAAAATTAATCTTTTTTGTAAATCACTGGTAAATCAAGGACTGTAAAACCGGTCATGTACATCTAAACCAGTAGTTATCAACCTTTTTAATGCCGCAAACCTTTAATACAGTTTGGCCATGTTGTGGCGACCTCTAAACAATTATTTTCCTTCGTAACTTCAATGAATATGTGTTTTCCGATGGTCTTAGGCAACCACTGTGAAGAGGTCATTCGACCCAAAAAAAAAAGGTCACGACCGGCAGGTTGAGAACCACTGATCTAAACCACAGTGGCACACCATCTGATTACAGACAAAAGCCGAAGGTTATCCTCCCCCAAAATGCTCACTGTGGCAAGCCGGACCGAACGGAAATAAAAGACCCGGCCGTGTCTGCAGGGGTGGTTTAGGAAAAGGTTTGGACAGGGCAGATACACTGAATAGGGCAGATAAACTGAATAGGGCAGATACACTGAATAGGGCAGATAATCTGAATAGGGCAAGTATTCTGAATAGGGCAGATACACTGAATAGGGCAGATACACTGAACAGGGCAGATATACTAAATAGGGCAGATACACTGAATTGGGCAGATACACTGAATAGGGCAGATATACTGAACAGGGCAGATATACTGAACAGGGCAGATACACTGAATGAGCGGCATCCTAGAGACTTTGAGACAAAGCAGACAAAGAACCACCTGTTGGAAACGGGTACTGAATGAAGACAAGTGTGCAGAAACTGGTTGGGGGGCAAAGCAAGAAAATATGCCAATGAACTCCAACTGGGTATGTTGAGCATGGAGATGGCTGCTGCATGGGAGGACAGAGTATGCATGGTTTGCACCAATGTGCTAGGATGTCGACAGAGACAACAAGTAACAAGTATCTGATTACATGACCTTCGAAATTTCAAATTTTGTACTTTATTTATATATATATATATATATATATATATATATATATATATATATATATATATATATATCTACATATATATTCATATATATGGCTTATCAATCATGTGCAATTTATTTTATGTCAAAGAATTGTATGAGAACTATCCCTACAGTACATAAATAACATAATGATGAAGTTTCTAAACGAGAATACTTTCAAGGTGGTACAAACAAGGGTACGAAGACTATATAATACTACGTGAAGTACAAAACTAAAATATTACGAGAATATGTTGTTTCTAAGTAAACATTCATGTACGTGATAGTGCAGACAAGTAAAGAAATGTTTACCGGATATTTATTCATGATTCTGCCTCTTTGTGTTCCCAATAAATCAACATCCGATGCAAAGGTAAAGTTAACCACCCCCACTGACCACCCTTCCCTACAGCGCAAGGCAATCCTAGTCAGCACAAAGAAACATCTCATACAAAGCATATTCATTCCCATTCTGTGCTAACAGTGCCAGACTTGGCCCCTCACAACAAAGGGAACAAGAAAATTAATAACCAAGGAAATGAGATATATAAGAAAGGCTGCGAGAGTAAACAGAATAGACACAATCAGGAATGAAAACATAAGAGAAATCTTGACAGAGAACCAGGGCACATACAGGGTACATGCTAAAACGGGAGTAGGATGTAGAGCAGAGATATCCAACTAAGTTTCCTCAGGGGCAAAAATTTGGAAAACTGGAACTGTCACAGGCCAGATGCCCAGTCACAACACAGAAAGATCATTAATACAATACAACTGACAGATGATCGGTGGGCCACTTGTTACGCCTTACAGACCAGATTTGGCCTGCAGGCCGCCAGCTGAATAGCCCTGATGTAGAGCATGAGACAGACCAAGTACAAGATGGAAAGATAAAACCAGAGAAACTTAAACACAGTACAATGTGTCCATGATAGAGGTAGCCAGAAGAGCAAAAAGCAGAACATGATATCTCCCTCAAAGCAGTAAAAGAGAAAGTCAAAAAGAAGAAGCAGCAGAAGAAGAAGAAGTTGAGAACAAAAAAAGAGAAAGAAGATAGCAGAACAAGGGAAAGAAGAAGAAGAAGCAGAAGAAGAAGTTAAGAAGAACAAAAAAAAAAGGAAGAAGAGGGCACAACAAGGAGGAGGAGGAGAAGAAGAAGAAGCCTGCCTGATAATATTTCATTTCTGATTCCATAATTAAACATTTGTTCATTTGCTGGCTATTCAGTATTTTCAAATCAAACGCATAAGTCAAAATTCATCAAATTACTCACAGCCGATTATTTAGTATAACTCACAATCATTTAAATTCACCATCAACAACTTCTGATTCTACTAGCCCAAGCCGTGTGGCATTGGTAGTCAAATCTATCCTCAACCAACTTTTTGTCTCGTGTATTTTAAATCAGTTCTGACACAGATAATCTCCCATGCCATGTCAAACTATCCAGCATCTTCTCTCTCGGTCTACCACTGCTTCTTTTCAACTCCATGTTTACTACCAACATGATACACTCCAGTTTTCTGAATGATGTAAGATTACACAACCTCTACCCTCAATCAGACACATATGACTACCCCATATGTACATTTCTACAAAAGTTGATTTGTACTCCAGATCAATCAACCAAGTCAACAAAATACCTTCAACCAATCACCCTAAGCTATTCCCCACTCCCCCCACCAATCAAACGACCACACTGTTTTATCAACCAATCATCACACCTGACCCCTGATTAATTATCTGAAAGGTCTGTACTATAAATCAGTTCCCCAAATCTACCCCCTAATTAATAACCCAAGATTTACTGCCAATTAATTACCCCAATCAACCACTAAACTACACCCAGTCAACCACTCAAAAATACCTTTTATTAAACATCTTACTACCCTAAAGCAATTATCCAAGACCACCTACACCAAGCCTAAACCTGATCAACCAAGACTTACCCCTAACCAGTAATCCAATGCCATCTTGCACCACCAACCAATCACCAAAGACTACCTCAAATGATCAGCCAAGATCATCCTCACTATCAACCAATCAGCTAAGTCTACCCTGAACCATCAATCACACAAGATTACCTCAACCAATTAGCTAAGACCACCTTGCACCATCAACCAATCACCTAAAACGACTTCAACCAAATCAGCCAAGACTACCTTTTACCATCAACTGATCACTATCTCAACCAATCAGTCATGACCACCTTCATTATTAACCAATCAGCCAAGACCCAATCACCCAAGACTTCTGAGTACTGAACCAATCAGACATGTGCTACTTCCAGACTGTTAGTGTTGACAGAAAACAGAAGTATCCGGCTGGGATTGAAGTACAGATTGGAGGAATGATATACAAGTGACCAAACATAGGGAACAAAAAATTCTTCAGGACTCTCTTCTTCAACATATTTGAACTTCAACTCTGGAAATTTCTGAGGAAAGACAAAGAAAATGCATGTGGAATATCTAAGCCATGAAAAAAATACACAATATACAAACACAAGTAAATATCATATTGGGCGGCTTCTAACTAGACCAGCACTGAGGGTCACATGTTCACTGCTTATTCAAGCATCAAGTTCAATCTTATGGGTGAACATAAAATGTTCACTGCTTACACAAGCATCAAGTTTCATCTTATGGGTGAACATAAAATGTTCACTGCTTACACAAGCATTAAGTTTCATCTTATGGGTGAACATAAAATGTTCACTGCTTACACAAGCATTAAGTTTCATCTTATGGGTGAACATAAAATGTTCACTGCTTACACTAGCATTAAGTTGTATCTTATAGTATGGGTGAACATAAAATGTTAATTGCTTATTCAAGCATCAAGTTGTATCTTATGGGTGAACATACACCATTCATACAAGCACCATGTTCCATCTGATTGCTAAACACAAACTGTTCATTGCTCATACTTCTTCACATTCACCGGTTGTAAACTCAAGAGGAAAGTTCTGGTTGTTTGTCCACGTCTGGACTTTAATCTTGTTCCAGAACCTGAGTTTTGCATGCACATCCATTTTACAGATCTGGCTTATTTGTATGCAGACTGTTGGTTCCTTGCCTCTTTGGCATACGCACTCTGACTTTAAAGGATGCCCCAGTAATATAACTCCTACAACAAGCTTGTTTGCAAAGCATGTGGCCTATTCTTGTTTTCCCCACGGCGGGGCCTCAGAACTCATATTGGGACAATGCTTATACATGCACCATTCTTATCTAAATCCTCTTCATGTTGCTGTTGACACATAAAGCTGCCGTCTGCTGCTTCTTTGTCTGCAGTATCTCCTGTCATTTTGCATTCCTTCATTATCTTTTTCACTCACTTTCTCCTGGTTTCCTTATGTCGTCCTCCTCTCCATTTTCCATCTTTCATCCATTGGAGAGATGTCCATAACAAAGTGTCATAAAACAGTCTGTAAACAAGTCCAAGCTATCTCCATCTTCTTTCTTTGAAACCTTCTGCCACAAATGGACATCTTGTTTTCCTCCTCAATTCTTCATTTCAAATCTTGTTTGACAAAAACATTTACAGGATTCTCCTTAGCAATTTATTTATAAAAGTGTCTAGTTTATTTGCAGTTCCTGTTGTTATTTTCCAACACTCACACTGTTGCATAACAGAATTCCTAAACTGTTGCTTCTGTAAACTCTCTGTTTGTTGCCTTCAAACTGAGTCTATTGGTTAGTTAGTTGCGTCCTTTCACAGGACATTGCAGAACCAACCACAGAATTGGCTGTTGTGGTTTTTCTAGGCAAATTTACATCCAGTAGTTTTGAGCCTAAATGACTTCCCTAATAGTGTTAAGCATGGCAAAAGCTTCGTTTACTTTTGATATTCCCCATCTGGAGTAACTTTACTTCCGGGGTATATTACCTCTTCAACTGCTTCATCTTAAAAGAGCTCTGGATTTTCTATTTTCTGATTATTTCTCATTACTTTACTTTTACTGGTCTATATCTTGAATCCTATCGGCCTCGCAAGGGTTCCAGGGCCCCATTGTGGGGATTAACAAAAACAGACCAACTGCCTTCCAACAAGCATTTCACAGGAGTCGACTAACTGAGGGCTTCCTTCAAAGTCGGAGTGCATCTGCCTGAGCGGCAAGTTTCAACCAGCTGTATACAAAAAAGACAGTAAAATGTATGTACACACAAAACTCAGGCCCAGGCACAAAGTTCAAGTGGACCAATAACCAGGACGTTCCACCAGAGCTTACAGCCGGTGAATAAAGAATAATAAGAAGAATCCTATCTTATGGGCCACAGTCAAAAGTCTTTCAATCTTTTCCTGGGCATCCTCATAACGGTCTAAGACTGCTTCATATAAATAGTCCAAATCTCTGAAACCGAGATCATCTCATACCTCCGTTTCGACCTCTGACAACTTCCTTTGTTAGCCAGTCAATGGTCAGGTTGAACAAAAAGGGTAATAGGTTCATTCTATGGTTGAACAAAAACTTCATTGCTTTTACAACCACCATGTACTTTCTTTAGTCATAAATATTCAAAGTTTACAGAAAGCGGTGGTTCTTCTTCTGCATTCATCCATAGCCCTTTCACCCCAATGACTACCTTAAAAAAAGAAGTCAACTTGTACTTTTCATTTTTAGGATATTCCAGGACAAATTTCCAAGAAAAACAACCTTTCTACACAAGTCACAATAAAAAGACAACAATGGCATCCACCCCCCCCCCCACCTAAGCTGGAAGAAAGTAGTTAGATAGTTTACCTTCAGTTTGTCTTTCTTAAAAGCCATGCTTCCTTCTTTGATTGTAGCTAGAACATCACTAGGGGAAGGGTTTGGACCCAGCGCCTCTAGTCGGGCTGAGAAGAAGGCTAACACCTGCAAATTTAGAATCGAAAATAAAAATCATAAGATACAATAAAAACTAAACCTTGTAAATATAGAACAAACAATAAAAATGTGTAAATACTGATAATGTAACAAAAGCCTGTTTCCTTCCAGGCTGCAGCGCATCTGTCTGAGAGGCAAGGAACCACCAGTATGCATACAAATAAGCAAGCTCTGTAAAACAGACGTGCACCCAAACTCAAGTCCTGGAAAACTACCAAAGTCCAAAAGTGGATGCAAGACCAAAACTTTCTGCCGGAGTACACGTCGGATCAACGTAGAGAAGAAAATTACAAAGAAACAATGTAAATACAGACCAAAGGTAAATGTATACATATATAAAACACAATGTATAAAACTGTACACACAAAAGAGAAAGTCGAAAACTATACATAAAACAAAAAAAACCATAAGAAAAGAAATAAAAAAAAAAAAAAAAAAAAAAAATGTAAATACAGACCAGATGAAAATGTATACATTTATTAAAACACAACGTTTAAAACTATACACAAAACAGAAAGTCAAAAACTGTATACATAAAACAAACAATAAAACCACATAAATATAAAAGAAGTGAAAATATAACTCAGTGTTTAAAACTGTAAACTAAGAACAGAACATTTAAAACTGCAGACACAACACAAATAAAAACAACCTGTAAATACACTACTCCACTCCAAACATAATAAGTGGTAAGGAAGGTAAGAGCCTCCCCTCAAGCTATGCACAGATGTTCTCTTTTCAAGTACTTGTTTACACATTTCATACTATTTCAACATTTTATTATTTTTATTTTTACATAATAATAAAAACAATTATAATTATAAATAGTATTATCAAACACTTAAACAAGGCTTAAGCCCCACTGAGTACATCTCATCTCCACCCTCACCAAAATGTTTTCTTTGTGGCAGCACCTCTGTTCAGCCAGGCAACATGATGATGATGATGATAATGGAAACAGACAGTACTTACTGTATCTATATTCTGAATGATATCTTGGAAAGTCGGGTGGCCCCGGAATGACGCAAACAGGCTCTTCTGGTAGAGCAGGGAGTAGATGAGGTGAGGGTTATGTTGTAGACTGGAGCTCAGGCAGGAGTTGATGATTTCTAGGACCATCCGCAGGACCTCCTCCAGGACGGACAGGTCCTGTAACTGAATTAACCACAACAGAGTTGGTCGTTATCATCTTATAATAAACATATAACATTAGTTTTTTTTCCACTGATCATTTTCCAGATCAGTGGGAAAAGGGGTAGAGGCAGACCAAGAGAGATAATGCTGGATGGGCTGAAACGATGACATGGAGAGATATCATCAAGAGAGCTGTTCCAGGCAACCAGGGATCATGATCTGTGGAGATGCATGTGCCTAGGCTAGTTGGCAGTGCACATGATGATAATGAATATTAGCTGACTTGTTATTCTTCTTAGCGTTTACAGGCTGTAAATACTGGTGCAAAGTTCTGGTGGAAAGTTCAGGTGGAAAATTCTGGTGAAAAGTTCTGGTGGAAAGTTCTGGTGAAAAGTTCAGGTGGAAAGTTCTGGTGAAAAGTTCAGATGGAAAGTTCAGGTGGAAAGTTCTGGTGAAAAGTTCTGGTGGAAAGTTTTGGTGAAAAGTTCTGGTAAAAAGTTCTGGTGAAAAGTTCAGGTGAAAAGTTCTGGTGAAAAGCTCAGGTGGAAAGTTCTGGTGAAAAGTTCAGGTGAAAATTTCAGGTGGAAAGTTCTGGTGAAAAGTTCTGGTGAAAAGTTCTGGTGAAAAGTTCTGGTGAAAAGTTCTGGTGGAAAGTTCTGGTGAAAAGTTCAGGTGGAAAGTTCTGGTGAAAAGTTCAGGTGGAAAGTTCTGGTGAAAAGCTCAGGTGGAAAGTTCTGGTGAAAAGTTCAGGTGAAAATTTCAGGTGGAAAGTTCTGGTGAAAAGTTCTGGTGAAAAGTTCTGGTGGAAAGTTCAGGTGGAAAGTTCAGGTGGAAAGTTCTGGTGAAAAGTTCAGGTGGAAAGTTCTGGTGAAAAGTTCAGGTGGAAAGTTCTGGTGAAAAGCTCAGGTGAAAAGTTCAGGTGAAAATTTCAGGTGGAAAGTTCTGGTGGAAAGTTGTTCAGGTGGAAAGTTCAGGTGGAAAGTTCAGGTGGAAAGTTGTTCAGGTGGAAAGTTGTTCAGGTGGAAAGTTCAGGTGGAAAGTTCAGGTGGAAAGTTCAGGTGGAAAGTTCAGGTGGAAAGTTCTGGTGGAAAGTTCAGGTGGAAAGTTGTTCAGGTGGAAAGTTGTGGTTGTTTGTCAGCTTCAGATTGTGGTCATGTTCTAGGACCTGTCATTGACGCATGTTCCTTCTACAGATCTGAATTAATCAGGTGACAGAAAGTGTATTGATCGGCACTCATAGAAAGTAGAAAGGTAGAAAAACACAATAGACTATTGTCTAGTGTGTTCCACCTTTCTACTTCTTTCTATGAGTGCCGATCAATACACTTTCTGTCACTTGATTAATTCATAATATTTAACGGCCACAAAGGTTCCCCCTGTTTATTTCTACAGATCTGGCTTATTTGTATGCAGACTGTTAGTTCCTTGCCTATAAGGCAGATTCACTTAGAAGAAAACACTCATAATTAGTTGCCTCTTGTGACACCTCGGTCTATTTTGCAATAGGGTCCTAGAATGTACATGGGTAAGGTTAGTTTGTCCAGTTCACGTTTCTAGGCCCATCTACACACTGGCTGACCTTTCATTCATACTTTCGCAGACTCTTCTATGTTGGAAGGGTGCCACCGTGTCTTGCCTCCAATTACATCAGCGCCGATGTTGCGTGTTCTATACCACACGACGACACAGCTGTCAACGACCCCAGATCATGTACAACTGACCCTAACCCAAACCCCTCCTACCCACAACCTCAACCTAGGTCACACGAGAGACTCTTTTAGAAGAAAGCAGTACAACCTGACACCCCTCTGACCTAGATCAGACTGAGAAAGTGTGTAGATGGGCCGGGAAATGTCCGATTAGTTTACAGGCATAGCTTTTTTCCCTAAGAAAAAGGGTGCTGCTATTAATCAAAAGTGTTTTTAAAAAGGTGCCGGAACTCTTTCTAAGGTGTCTATTATAGTTAAATAGTAGTACAGAAATATTACTGCCTTAAAACTGGTACAGGTACAGCGTACAGTCATTAAAAAAAAAGTGCTGATTACAGAAATGTAAGTACTTCTGCATAATGAATAAACGTGAATGGCTCATATTTTAGTTGTCAAGAAGATCAAAGTGACTGCTGCTTGGCAAATGTGGCTTTTTTGCAGACACCAATAAAGAGATGCCACCTGCAGTGAGAAAAAATAGTGTCAAATTGCTATACAGAATCTGTGTTACAATAAGCAGACGAGCTTACAAATACCCAAGTGGTGTTTTGAGAAAACTTATAGAAACAAAACAGGCAGCTCTTCTCAAGACAAAGGAAAAAAAAACATTAAACTGATTATAACAATCTGACGCAGAGAGTTAGTGTTTCTGGGAACATGTTACGAGAAAGAATGTGCTCAAGAACTCGGTGACAGCTAGCAAGAGACTGACGAAAAACAGCAAGGGGAAGGCAAACATATATATATATATAGATATATACACACACACACTTGGATGACTTGCATATATGGATGAGGTGAGATAAGAACACTGACCTGATCACAATTCTGGTGACCATGTGAGATGTTGAAACATGGATTATCGGCAGAGCACATGATGACGATCAGGTCTAAAGATGAATGAACTTGAGCAAGAAGAAGAGGAGGAGGAAGAGGATGTAAGAGAAAGAAGTAAAGGTAGATATATGACATTTAACAAAAATAATTTTGAATTGCAGATTAACAGTAAGAGAAATGTAAAAAGTGAGACATGCGAAATTTGAGACATACAAATTGTACACATTCTAACTTCTTACATAGTCTTGTTGTTCACTGTCTGTCTGTTCATCTGTCTGATCGCTCGCCTGACTGTTCATGGCTGACTGACGGATTTGGTCCACCAGCTTGGAGTGCCGCTTGCACAGCTGTGAGAACAGACTGGCAGAGGACAAGTTGCACGCTCAATTAAATGTTTCCATTTCAGAGAAAATGTTACATGATGATTTTAACGAGTCAGTTTAAATGAAAATGTTATTCGTTAACTGATAAAATATATTTTATAAAGAGTTTAACATTGAGAGTTTTCAATAACTAGTCAACTCTACAGAAAATGTTATTTAATGGTTTTAACAAGTCAGTTTCAGATAAATGGTATGCTGATTGTAACGTCAACTTCAGGCAAGCAAATCAACTCAGAGAAAACGCCACAAAAGCATTCAAAAGAATAAAGCTCGGCCATCTGAAAAATAGACAGCTGTGAAGTTTACCAGCAAAAATACTGAATAATTAACTGGCCACGATTCAACCCAGGTATTGGTAACCGGAAGCGGTCTGGTTGTATGACAGATATCTCCATCCCCTCCTTAGTATTCACTGGCTGTAACCTCTGGTCGTTTGTCCGTTTCTCAATTTTAGTCATGCTCCAAAACTTGAGTTCTGCGTGCAGATCCATTTTAAAGACCTGGCTTACTTGTATGCAGACTGTTGGTCTGAACAAGGAAGATATTTCTATAATATACAAAACAAACTATGACACATGGCCACTGGCTACCAGCCAGAGGTGTCATTCAAACCTGTTCCACCTGCTGCTTTTCTATAATGCATATTTCTTTATTATATTCATAACATGCATTATTGATAACAGACATTGGTACTCTGAAAAATAAGTGCTTAGAAGGGCCGAATGTCAGACGGGCCTGCGTGCCCAATTTGTAACCCTTTGAAAATAAAGTTTGTTCGTTCGTTCGTGTGTCTATTTTTTACAGTCTTTTGGAGTCAAATCATACAAGAACTGACAGGAAACAAGGGAAAACCACCACAGCTAGGGCCAGAATTACAAGAGGCAACTGCAAAATTCTAACAGGCGAACACAGAATTATAATAGACAAAAACAGAATTGCAAGAGACAAATACACAATTATAATAGACAAATACACAATTATAATAGACAAATACAGAATTATAACATGCAAATACACAATTATAAAAGATGAAAAAATTATCACAGGCAAGTACAGAATTATAACAGACAAATACACAATTATAATAGACAAATACAGAATTATAACAGACAAATACAGAATTATAACAGACAAATACACAATTATAATAGACAAATACAGAATTATAACAGACAAATACACAATTATAATAGACAAATACACAATTATAATAGACAAACACAGAATTATAACATGCAAATACACAATTATAATAGACAAATACACAATTATAACAGACAAATACACAATTATAACAGACAAATACAGAATTATAACAGACAAATACACAATTATAACAGACAAATACAGAATTATAACAGACAAACACACAATTATAACATGCAAATACACAATTATAAAAGATGAAAAAATTATCACAGGCAAGTACAGAATTATAACCAACAAGGAAATAAAGAAAAAAAAAAGCATTATGAAAAAAATACAGCATAAAAATTTGCATACATGGGAGACAGTCCACATTCACCAGACCATGACAAGAAAGGGGAAAAACTGGAATCAGTCAAGGAGAAAATCAGAGGGGAAGAGAAGGAGAGGGAGACCAAAAGAGAATATGACTACTAATGCCCCAATGGCATGGACTATAAGAAGAATCCTGAGAGATGAGAACAGCCAAGCTGTAAACCGCTTACTTGATAATCTTTTGTGCCACAAAGGAACTGAGATTTGTAAAATGCGAGGACATGTTTGCTAAGGCTGCAAGGCAGTTGGTGTGCAAGTACTTGTCCTGAAATGGCAAAATATACTAAAGTTAATAACAAGTTGAGTTGAGTTGAGTCAACAATTGACATCATAGCACTCGGGGAATTCCCATACATGCTCCGCCCTCGTCTTTATCAGCCAGGGCAGGGTTTCAATACTGATGGTACCGGACACAATCTTGTTATATGTCCGTCTTGCCTTTCCTCTGAGTGTAGTGAGCCGGCCAGACCCTCTGGTTACACCCAGATTTCTCATTTTCTCCAGGCCATAATAACCTTCTTTCGTCACTGATTCCGTTGCTTGTTCCCAAAGGGCCTTGACCACATCTGCCCTGTCATGTATCAATTCACCACTAATAACAAAGTTAGTATTGTTAGTATAACTGTTTTTTAACTCATCAGTTTCAAATTCGTGCCAGGGCACACAGAAATGAGAAAGCTGATGGCTAAAGGAAAGACAAAGATAATGAGAATAAAACAGGCAAATAGTAATGTGGTTTCTCTTGATGGCACCCCACTCCAAAGACGTGGAGTCGTACACCTATTTGGGCAGTAATGTAGATAAAGATGGGGGAACTGATAGAGATATTAAAATAATGATTCAAAAGGCAAGAGGGGCTTTCATAGCACTAGGGCATTTGCGGAGGTCAGAAGGAATTAAAAGAAATACTAAACTTACAATTTTTAATTCTAATATCAAATCAGTACTTTTGTATGGGGCGGAAACATGGAGAACAACTAAGGCAATTACTAATAAACTACAGACATTCATTAACTGGTGCCTGCACAGAATAGCAGGAATTAAAATGTATAATAGAATTACTTATGCAGAGCTTTGGGAGAGAGCTAAGCAAGCTCCAGTGGACGAAGAGGAGAAGACAAAACGCTGGCATTGAATAGGACACTAGGACACACATTGAGAAAACCGGAGAACAATATAACTAGAATGTCTTTGCATTGGAACCCACAGGGGCATAGGAATAAAGGAAGGCCAAAAAATACATGGAGAAAGAAGCTGGAAAATGAAGTTAGAAAGAAGGGGAGGATATAGGTTGAGCTGCATGTGATAGCAAAGGATAGAACAACTTGGCGTGAGTTGGCTGAGGGCCTAGGATCCATTGGGGGCTAGAAAGGCAGAAGAAGAAGAAGAAAACGGCTTGCAGGTAAAGCTACGGTGGAGAGTGGATGCGCCACAGAACAGACTGATATACCGAATGCTCTACGAAATGTAAGATGTTTGTGAGAATTAAGTGATAACTGTGACTACGCAACCAGACTGCAAGAAGAGCATGCTTAAAGGGGTGTAGCCAAAAAATAGCACAATGCAGGAAGCCAAAGAAGAACAAGAAACCAACACAAGTCGTTTGTTGTCAGCAGGGAGGGGATACGAGCACTTTTAGACTGAATCGTTCAATATGGCCAACACCATACCTCGAGACCACTATACTGAACTGTATGGTTCCCAATGTGGGTTCACTGGCTTCATTCTGGGAAAAACAAAAAAAGACCCCACCTTCTTCCCAAAAAGCATGTCGTAAGAGTCGTCTAACTGGGAGCTTCCTTCAAAGTCAAAGTGCATCTGCCTGACGGGCAAGCAACCAACAGTCTGCATACTATAAGTCAGCTCTGTTAAATGGATGGGTACACAACTTTCAGGTTCTGAAAAAAGATGGGGCTGCATGGTCTTGAGGCACAGTGTCCACCTCAAGTGCTAGAGGTTCCGGGTTCAATCCCCGGTAAGGGCTGAGATTTGTTCACGTGCACTCTGACTTCTAGTAATTCCCCCTGGTCTCCGATAAGTTAGATTTTAACGCCCGTGTGCAATGCTGTGCATGTAAAAAATCCCTTGGCAGTTGGAAATTGAAAAGAGTAGCTTTCAGCGCTGCCCTGGATAAAATTTGGAGTTTTAAATCTACCCAAAGCATTTCAGGATCCTCGCTGGTGCTACAGAGCCTGTGCACTGTAATGAGCTTCTTCGGACTCAGACTTGAGTTAGAAGACGAACGGAGCACTTATGGGTTACTTCCCATGTGCCATGACATTGATCCGTTGTTCAAAACCTCAAAGGTTCTGTAACAAGAATAAAGTCTAGAGGTGGACAAACAATCAGACCTTTTTACTGGAATTTACAGCCAGTGAATGGGAAGAAGAAAAAGACACTCTATGGTCCGTATCACTATCAAGATTAAAAGAAGAGACAAGGGACACACGATACTCGTACCTTAAAACACAAGACAAACCTGCAACTTACTCTCATCCTGGTCATGTTATACTGTATGGTCCGTATCACTACAAGGATGAGCAGCCCGCCTAGAGAGATTTCCGACAGTGGCTTTTCTTTGTACCACTGAATGTTCTTTACAGTCTGAAACAGAGATACTGAAGGGGATCACACATTGGATATTGACACATGGGTAATGATAAAGTAGGTGTTGTCATGGGAGAGTTCATACAGGACAAGGCTTTTCACCAAAGTTTAACATACCATAACCCTTGACCCATTAGGGTCGTGGAGGTGTATTGATGGAAGCACTAGCACATAAAACCTGCCATCTTTCTCCGTCTTCCGCTTGATGAATAAAAGTATGATAATTTAGTCCTATCCATTTCTTGATGTTGACATTCCAGGTTATGTATATAGGAGGTAGTGGCAGGGGAGACTTTCATAGTTTATAGTATCATGTGTATATAGGAGGTATTGGCAGGGGAGACTTTCATAGTTTATACTATCATGTGTATATAGGAGGTAGTGGCAGGGGAGACTTTCATAGTTTATACTGTCAAGTGTATATAGGAGGTAGTGGCAGGGGAGACTTTCATAGTTTATACTATCATGTGTATATAGGAGGTATTGGCAGGGGAGACTTTCATAGTTTATACTATCATGTGTATATAGGAGGTATTGGCAGGGGAGACTTTCATAGTTTATACTGTCATGTGTATATAGGAGGTAGTGGCAGGGGAGACTTTTATAGTTTATACTTTCATGTGTATATTGTTGATGTTGTTGTTATCGATCCAGCGGCGCATGAGCTTTCGCCCTTTGGCCCAATGCCATGTAGTGGAATTTGCATGTTTTCACAAGCTGTTCTTTTCCTCCGTACAAGGTGTTCCACTTGTCTGGTCTCGGAGGGAGTAGCGTTCTTCTTGTCTCACTGAGTTTTGGGCACTCAAAGAGATGGTGTTCAACAGTTTCGTAGGGGTAGTTACATAGCTGGCACTCTGAGGAGTGTTGTGGCTGTATTCTGTTTAGGTGTCCATTGAGTGGAGTATGTTGCGTTCTAAGTCTGAAGATGGTGGCCTGGTCCCTTCTTGTTAGATGGTTAATGCTGTCATTAGGATCAGGGCCAGACATATGTCTATAAACCTCTCTTCCAGTGTCTCCCATGGCCCATCTGTTCAACCAAGTCTCTTTGTTTATAGCTCTTATCAGTGTTTTTGCTGTCTGGAGGGTTGTCGCTGTAGGTGGTTGTTCTTGTGTTGCTCCTTTCTTTGCCAATCTGTCAGCTCTGTCATTACCTGGTGTGCCGGAGTGACCTGGAATCCACTGCATCACTATTCTGATGTTGTATGAGGTAATAAGCTGATCGGCATCCAGGATTATCTTGGCTATGTCAGTTCTGCAGCGTTCATTGCCCTCCAGAGCTTGAAGGGCAGACATTGAGTCTGTGAAGATGACAATATTTTGGACCTTTGAGGGGTAAACATCCATTACAGTCTTTAGGTGGTATACTGCTGTTTCCAGTGCAATTATTTCAGCTTCATAGTTTGAACAGAATTCCCCGCATGCATCAAAAATCTCTTCAACAGATCCATCGGGATAACCTATGTAGATTCCGTAACCTGCTTTAATGGTAGCTTTAAATGCTGATCCATCAGTAGAGACATGTATCCATTCTTGGGGGTAAGAATCAACGGTCTTTAGTGATGAGTTCATAAGAGCGATTGGGTCGGACTGTTTGGTTTCCTCGCCTACCAATTTAGTTTGGACTTCTGGAGCTTTAAAGCGAGCATGTGGTGGTAGGTTTTTTGCAACATTCTGAATTCCTTGACGTCTTTCTGGGAGGTGGTATCTGTCCTGAATTTCATTAACACAGTGTAAAACCGATTTGTGCTTTATTCTTTGTTTGGATTCCCAGTTTTCTACAAGATGTCTATTAGGATGGTTACGATTTTTCCTAACGCATCTTTCATAAATTTCTAAAGTGGCTTTTTCTCTCCGCAACCCGAGGGGTTCCACATTTGTATGGATTTCACATGCAGCAGTTGGTGTAGACTGCATAGCTCCGCAGATTAATCGGAGGGCATTATTTTGTACTCTGTCAAGAGTCGCTAGGTTAGTTTTGGAGCAAGTTGTAAGCAGTGAGTTGTTGTACTCTATCACAGAGCGAACATATCCTAGATATAAGCCCCTCAGAGTTTCCTTGTCTGATCCCCATGATGTACCTGCAAGTCTCTTTAATAACTGTAACCGCCTCAATGCCTTATTCCTGATGTTTTCAATATGGTTCTTGAGGCTGAGCTGCGGGTCAAGTGTGACTCCAAGGTATGTGGGATGCTCTTCTTTCATCACTTGGTGTTTGTCTAACCTCAGGTTAATATTCTTCCTTGCTACTTGGTGGCTTTTGGTAAAGATTGTGTAGACCATCTTTGCACAGTTAATCTTGAGTTTCCATCTTTGGCAGTAATCATGCAGTCTTCTAAGGTCTCCATTCAGTCTTTGGGCTCCACTTTCCACATTTTCATGACTCTGCCATATTGCTAGGTCATCAGCGTACAAGGCTTTTTCGGCCTTGATTTGTTCTGGCAGGTCATTGATAAAGATTAGGAATAGTGTACAGCTCAATGATGAGCCTTGTGGCAAGCCCTCCTCCAAGACTTCTTTAGAAGAGATTGCGTTGTGCATCTTAGTCTGGATTGTTCTATCTATCAGGAAGTATTTCACCCAGTTATACAATCTGCCATGTATTCCTATGCTCATCATCTTCATCAGGAGACCTTTTCTCCATACTCTGTCATAGGCCTGCTGGAGATCAACAAAGACTGCCACTGTGTGTTTCTTATTCTGGAAGCCATCATGTATTCTTTGTGTCAGTCTGAACAGCTGGTCTTCTGTGCAGCTGTTGGTTCTGAAGCCTGCCTGTTCATGGCATAGAACACCAGAACTCTCAAGGAACCAATATAAGCGCCTGTTTATCATTCTTTCTGCAACTTTGCCCAAGCATGATGTTAAGGATATCGGGTGGTAGCTTTTGGGGTCATCTGGAGGCTTTTTGGTTTTAAGGATGGGGACGATATATGCATTCCTCCATGCCCTTGGAAGTTTGCTTGACCTCCAAGTTTTATTAATAAGCCTGAGAACTACTTCTCTCCCAGACCGGCCAAGATGTAGCAGCATTTCGTTGTGGATCTTATCTGGGCCTGGAGATTTTCTAGGTTTTAATTTCTTCAGGGCTTGCTCTAATTCATCCATGCTAAATTCATTTTCAAAAAGGGAGTCGCTGGCTGTTGGAGCTCTCTCTTGTTTCTTCAACTGAGAGAGCTGTGTTCTATTGAGTTATCATGTGTATATAGGAGGTATTGGCAGGGGAGACTTTCATAGTTTATACTGTCATGTGTATATAAGAGATACTGTCAGGGGAGACTTTAATAGGCCCTACTGTCATAGGAGAACTCATACAGGAAGTACTGGCAGGAAAAACTTGCATAGTTTACACTGTCATGAGAGAAAGTATATAGAAGGTATTGGGAGAAAAATTCATAAATAAGCTACTATCAATGGAGATCTCCATAAAATTGATATACTGTCATGGGATAAAGTATATAGGAGGTACTCTCTGGGAAGACTTTCATAGCTTATACTGTCATGGAAGAACCCATGTAGAAAGTACTGACAGGGAAGACTTTCATGGCTCGTCCTGCATGGGAGAAAGATCACAGTAGGTATTATCAGGGGATAATTCCTTTTATATACTATCCAAACAACATTTCATCTCAACAAATGAACAACCACGACTTACAATTTCATGGACTGATTTATTAAAAACCTCATCCTCGCTGAGCACTAAGAGAACAATGAGGCCCATATAGATGTGATGTGAGCTTCTCTCGTGTGTGTGGTACAGTATCTGTAGTAGTGGCATCACCTGCAAAGTTCCAAGATCATACATTAGTCATGTAACAGAGCCAGTACAATCATTATTTAATGGTTAGACATCTTATGTTTTAGTTAGGTAAGTGATGGCTATTAGTGCTAAATGTGGACACTGACATCCTCCAATGAATGTAAAATTGTGACAACAGAGATGAAATGCCTTAGAAGAGCTGCAGGAGTTTCAAGGAAAGACAGAATACAAAATCACGAAATTAGACAAATGCTAGAAATAAAGCCAGTTTTACAAGCCATATAAAAACAACAAATTAAATGGTTTGAACACTTAACAAGAATGCCGTCGTACTATCTGACACAGGGAGCCACACTAAAACGTTACAACGGGTATAGAGCGAGTGGAAGACCTAAGAAAATATGGAGTGATTACATTAGGAGCAGCCTTATAGAAATGAACATCAATCTTAATAGTGTTCCTGACAGAGCTCATTAACAAACATTACATCTCCCCCGACACTCACTGAGGTACAAGGTGGAAGAGAAGAAGAAAAGGAAGTGATAGATCCTTCACAGGGTACTGCAGACAGGTCTGCATCTGTAACGTGCTGATGAAAGCTAACCTGTCGGTTGTGATAATGTGAATGTGACTAGTTCTACTTTTTGTTTGGTTTGATATCCGTTCATTTACCATGTGAACTATGTTTGTCTTAGAAAGGATGAAGAGATATGTCTCATTTACCAACTGATCTATGTCTGTTCTAGATAGAATGAAGAGACATGTGTCATTTACCACCTGACCTATATTTGTCCTGGAGAGAATGAAAAGACACGTGTCATTTACCAAATGATCTATGTCTGTTCTAGATAGAATGAAGAGACATGTGTCATTTACCAGCTGATCTATGTTTGTCCTGGAGAGAATGAAGAGACATGTGTCATTTACCAGCTGATCTATGTTTGTCCTGGAGAGAATGAAGAGACATGTGTCATTTACCAGCTGATCTATGTTTGTCCTGGAGAGAATAAAGAGATGTGTCATTTACCACCTGACCTATGTTTGTCCTGGAGAGAATGAAGAGACATGTGTCATTTACCACCTGACCTATGTTTATCCTGGAGAGAATGAAGAGACATGTGTCATTTACCAGCTGATCTATGTTTGTCCCGGAGAGAATGAAGAGACATGTGTCATTTACCACCTGACCTATGTTTGTCCTTGAGAGAATAAAGAGACGTGTTATTTACCAGCTGATCTATGTTTGTCCTGGAGAGGATGAATGCCTTGACGTTTGGGTTCTGGTGGATGAGCAGGTAGAGAAGCAGCGTGGTCTGGTCATCATGCAGGGTCAGACACAGCACACTGTAGAGCTTGCTCATGTCCAGTTTGAATGTGGAGGGGACATGGGTGGGTACTGAGTGTCCCGGCTCTGTGGGACAGGAAGAGAACGAAAACAAAAAGACTGTTACGCCATCAAACAATCTATATCAGTGGTTTTCAACATTTTTTAGGTTCCTTCCCCTCCCCCCTGAAAAAATGGCAAGACTCACCACAACTTACAAAACACAAATTTTATTTAAAAGAGGCTTAAAAGAAAAATCTCAACAATTCAACTGTCTCATTTTCTCTAGTTTAAAACGTAATTTAATGTTTGCTGTTTGCTCTATTCTGCATGTGTAACAAAGCAACTCTCACTAGTTTAACAAACTGGCCAGTTACTTAACATCTGGCCATATTGTAGATGACTGTTGCTTATTAATACGCTTATCTCTTGGTCATATTAAAATCAGCTCACTGTATATGGTCGGACTGTGTTTACCCGAATGTCTCCCTACATATTGTTAAATCCCCTGGTAAACACTCTAGACCCCTTTCCTACCTTCCTTTTTTTCCTTACAAACAGAAAACTGCATCTCGTGCATTCAAGAGTTAGGCCTCCCCCTTAAGAACACTGTCCTATGCTGTTTGTATACTGCAGAATACAGGACTGTGACATATGCCCTGTCTAGAATTAGCAGATATTTCTCAGAGCTTAATTCTTGATTTACTTTGATTTGTTAATAAATGTTTGTTGTTCGATCTGATAATTGTGGAACATTATGTGGCCATACACAGCTTGGAAATAAACAGCTTGAACATATGGACATAAACAGCTGGAAAGCTGGCATATGTTACAAAATATTTGGAGCTTAAATATGTGTGAAATGAACAGGTTGAAAACAAATGTAGCCAGAAAAATCATCTAAGGTTTGCAAAAATAAGTTCATTAGTTAGTTAGTCAATCGATCAATCATCTTCATTGCACACTGGCCTAGTTCATAAACGCTCAGAACCCATCTTCAGTATCTCCCTCAGGGTGCTGCGACTGATGGCACCAGTTCTGTACTGGTTTACTATTCTTCTTTGGCTACCTGTATTAGTGTTAATGTCTGGCAATTGCTCTTCTGACATGAAGTTCTTGTAGTCCTGTCAAGGTCCTGAAGCAAACTTCTTAGCCTGTCTCCCTGACAGCACTGATAACATTGGATCAGTCCACTGCTTTTTCTTGTGCTACAGTGGCCCTGCTAGCAAGCCAGTCCACTCAGGCATCCCTCTTACCCTAGAGTGTGAAGCACAACAAAAAACAGCCAAGAAATAAACAGGGAAAAGTTCTTGCATAATGGGTAGATGCTTTTACTTTAATAAACGTCTGGGTAGCAAAAATGTGGGGGATGGGGAGGAGGAGAACCTCTAGAACATTAACCACTGAGATATAAATGTTTGCAAAATTTAACAACAAAGACATCTTCCTCTTCTTTGCATTTACTGGCTGTAAACTCCCGCAGAAAATTATGGACACTCGTCCCCATCTGGACTTTAGTCTTGTTCCAGAACCTGAGTGTTGTGTGCACACTTGTTTTCACACATATTGGCTTAATTGTTTGCAGACTCTTTGGTTTCCTGCTTCTCAGTCAGACAAACGGGACAACAAGAAATGACACTGAAAGAAATATTCTGGGGCAATAAACAAGTGAGAAGTACCCACATGAAGAGAAACATATGGCAAACAAGGAACTGGGAAATAAATAAATTACACAATGAAAAAATAAATACACTTCTAGGAAAGCATCCTGAGACAGAGCTTTCCAAATCTGTGTGATGGCTGCAGTGTGTAGGTGTCAAAGTGAGTTAGCGTAATTTAACCTCTAGTTTTGCCGTAACTAAAATACTGTGATGTGAAAGATTGTGTCTGATTAACTCTTTTCAGTCAATGCATTTCACAGTAGTATTCAATAACTACAAAACCATAACAAAATGAAACGCATGAGTAATTACTTTCAAACCCAGCAACATGTATCACGCTCAGTTTATCACAACATCAGCCAGATTTATATACTATGTTCAGATCAAACGTAACAGAGATAACACAACACCATGTTGCTTTAATATAGGGCTAACTAATGTGTGTTCCTTGGGGCTCAAAGATTAAAGTTTATCTAAAAGGGGGTAAACAACATGTACATTTTGGAAAACTCTCCTAGGATATCAACATCTAAAAAAAAACATTTTGTAACAAAAGCAAAAAGTGTATTTATCTTTTGTAAAGGAGGTTGATGCGGCAAAGATGTGCCCTTGTACAATTCTTATAGGGTTAATTCAAAATGGGTTTTTGCACAATGAAGTACAGGCGCAAAAAATGCTTACCCAAAAGTGTGCCACCAACATAAAAAAATTAGGAAAAAACTTAAAGTAAATTTTAATAACAAAACAAAACTGGAGTCGCAGTGGGGTAGCGGGTAGATGCTCCGTGCAGATGAAGGGCTGGGGTTTGCTCCCTGTGGAGGGGACTTTTTTCCCAAATCCGTGTCGCAAAAATTTTGTTTTCCTAAAAGTGTGCCACCACATAAAAATTTTGAAACCCAGCCCAGGATATCAACACTTAAAAAGTAAATTTCAATAACAAAAAAAAAAACTGGGNTGTCTGGCAATTGCTCTTCTGACATGAATTCTTTGTAGTCCTGTCAAGGTCCTGAAGCAAACTTCTTAGCCTGTCTCCCTGACAGCACTGATAACATTGGATCAGTCCACTGCTTTTTCTTGTGCTACAGTGGCCCTGCTAGCAAGCCAGTCCACTCAGGCATCCCTCTTACCCTAGAGTGTGAAGCACAACAAAAAACAGCCAAGAAATAAACAGGGAAAAGTTCTTGCATAATGGGTAGATGCTTTTACTTTAATAAACGTCTGGGTAGCAAAAATGTGGGGGATGGGGAGGAGGAGAACCTCTAGAACATTAACCACTGAGATATAAATGTTTGCAAAATTTAACAACAAAGACATCTTCCTCTTCTTTGCATTTACTGGCTGTAAACTCCCGCAGAAAATTATGGACACTCGTCCCCATCTGGACTTTAGTCTTGTTCCAGAACCTGAGTGTTGTGTGCACACTTGTTTCACACATATGGCTTAATTGTTTGCAGACTCTTGGTTTCCTGCTTCTCAGTCAGACAAACTCTGATTTTGAAAGATATTTCCAAATAGTTGACTCCTACGACATGCTTGTTGGGGAGGCAATGGGTCTATTCTTGTTTCCCACCATAATGAGGCCCCCGGAACCACCACGGGGACAACAAAGAAATGAACACTGAAGAAATATTCTGGGCAATAAACAAGTGAGAAGTACCCACATGAAGAGAAACATATGGCAAACAAGGAACTGGGAAATAAATAAATTACACAATGAAAAAATAAATACACTTCTAGGAAAGCATCTGAGACAGAGCTTTCCAAATCTGTGTGATGGCTGCAGTGTGTAGGTGTCAAGTGAGTTAGCGTAATTTAACCTCTAGTTTGCCGGTAGACTAAATTACTGTGATGTGAAATTATGTGTCTGAATTAACTCTTTCAGTCCAAGCAATTTCACAGTAGATATTCAATAACTACAATAACCATAACAAAATAGAAACGCATGAGTAATACTTTCAAACCAGCAACATATATCACGCATTTTATCACAACATCCAGCCAGATTTATATACTATGTTCAGATCAAACGTAACAGAGATAACACAACACACATGTTGCTTTATATATAGGGGCTATAGCTGATAATGTGTGTTCCTTGGGACTCAATGAGTTAATGTTTATCTAAAAGGTGTGTAAACAACATGTACATTTTGGAAAGCTCTGCTCTAGGATATCAACATCTAAAAAATACATTTCAGTAACAAAAGCAAAAAGTGTATGTGATCTTTCCGTAATGGAGGTTGATCGCAGTGCAAAGATGTGTCGTGTGTACAATCTCTTATAGGGATTAATTCAAACTGTGTTCTGTCAGCAGACTGAAGTACAGTGTCGCAAAATTATGCTTACCTAAAAAGTGTGCCACCAACATAAAAAGTTAGGAAAACACTTAAGAAGTAAATTTCAATAACAAAAACAAAAACTGGGAGTCGCAGTGGCGTAGCGGCTAGATGCTCCGTGCAGATCAGAAGGTCGTGGGTTCGCTCCCTGGTGGAGCGGGACTTTTTTTCCCAAAATCACAGTGTCGCAAAATTATGTTTACCTAAAAAGTGTGCCACCTACATAAAAAGTTAGGAAAACTCCAGCCTAGGATATCAACACTTAAGAAGTAAATTTCAATAACAAAAACAAAAACTGGGAGTCGCAGTGGCGTAGCGGCTAGATGCTCCGTGCGGATCAGAAGGTCGTGGGTTCGCTCCCTGGTGGAGCGGGACTTTTTTTCCCAAAATCACCTTGACTCCCAGGTCAACCCAGCCTTGAGTTGGTACCGGGTGCAGTCCTGGGAGGCAAAGGCGGCCAGCGTGATGCTGACCGCATCCCCCATTTCGTGCCGTTTGGTCTATACAAATATATGTCTTGCCCTATATGCCCTATACGCCTAAAGGCATGGAAAAGGTTCGGCCCTTACTTTTACTTTACTAAAAATAAAAACTGAATGCTGTAATGAGGGAATTCCCGGGGAACTCCTTATGACGCAGCTGAGTGACAGGCCAATGAGAAAATGGGCTGCACCAAATAAACAATAGTCACATGGAGAGGGGGGGGGGGGGGGGGAGGTGAATAGTTACTAGCATACATTTCCGTGCAAAGGGGACAAAGATTTGGAAGGGCAAATGAGATAACGGCAGTTGGTTTTTGTTAGAAGTGCTGAGCGGAAGAATTGTCTCTGGAATGAATGTTGTCTGCATCGTGAAAGCAAGTGGATGGCTGCAGTGTTGAATCCATGAAGAGAGACGAGCGGTTGCCAAATCCACGTTACGGACAATTCCATGCATGTTCGAACAAACGAACAAACTTTATTTTCAAAGGGTTACAAATTGGGTACGCATGCCCGTCTGACATTCGGCCCTTTTAAGCACTCATTTTTCAGAGTTCGTTAAAATGAGAAGCCTGGACTGAAAGGTAAATACTTGTGTGCTCGATGAATGAGGTTTTCTGCCATACTTTGTGCCAGCCAGTTTCACGATAACTAGGTAACGAGACTACTGACTGCATTGAACTGCATTGTTGTTGGAACTGCAATAAACATTTGACCAACTCCAGCGGGTGTGGTTTACATCATTGTGTTCTAACTCACCTAACAACATGAAAGAAGTTAGAAACAAGTTCAGGCAGCTCCAGTTTGAATCCCGGGACATCATCATCCCAAATGCCAAACATCATCCCAAATGCCAAACATTATCCTAAATGCCAAACATCATCTCAAATGCCAACACATCATCTCAAATGCCAATCATCATCCCAAATGTCAAACATCATCCAAAATGCCAAACATCATCCCAAATGCCAATACATCATCTCAAATGCCAACTCCATAATTTAGGCTGGCCACAGTGTACTCCAGCTACCTGAACAATACAGGTGTTCAAAGCATCATCATCATGATGTTGCAGGTCCTTTGCAGAACGTCGCTCTCATCGCGGTCTGCCTGAAAGAAACTCGGTCTCTCGCCAGCTGTCCGGTCTCATGTACTTTCGTATTCAAAAAAGTCACTTATATCCTGTGCCCATCTTCATGTTTGTCGGCCCCTGCCACCTTCTTCCTGGTACCTTCTGCTATTATTTTTTTCCAATCCGTCGTGGCGCTTGATATGACCAAAATATTTCAGCTTCCGAGACAGGATGGTGTTTATTAGCCAATCTTCCTTGATGTTCAGATCTTTTAAGATCTCACTATTTCTCTTCTTCTCTGTCCAAGATATTCTGAGAAATTTCTATAGCATTTCAGGTCAAAAGCCCCTATTCTCTTTTCCAAGGACGGTGAGATAGTCTACGACTCACATCCGTATATTGCTACAGGGAAGATGCATGCTCTACAAATTCTAATTTTGATCTCCTTGCTGGTGCTAAACCACAGACTTTTAATGCTGTTTAGTCTTTGCATTGCTACGGCCATACAAAAAATAAATATTCCTGCGTACTCTCACTTTCGATGACCTCTGACACACTCGTCACTAATACTTGTTACTAATACTCTTTACTACAGTGAGGTAACACACAATACTATCCATCTAATGCAGTGATTCCTTAACTGTGTGCCGCAGCGCCCTGCGACCTCTTTACAGGGGTGCAGCAAAATTTTCGAAAATACACAAGTTTTATATATTTTTTAAAATCACTTACGTACGAATACTTTTACTCAGGTTAGGGCGCCGCAAAAAAAATTTAATTGAAAAAAGCGCCGCAACTAAGAACAGTTTGGGAAACACTGATCTAATGTTTAAAAAGTTAGTTGCGTGTCCTTTACAGGGGGTCGCAGGACCGACCTCAGCATTTGCTAGCTGTTGTTTTTGGTTTTGATAGACAATTATGCATTCAGAAGTTTGCCATTGCCTGCTGAACAATTGGCTCTCGATAGCCCTGTCAACACAAGACCGTCTACTACCAAACTGTCCACAGCTGGAATTGAACTGGGTACCTTAGAATTATGAAGCGTGTTCTCAATACCTATGCCACAGACTCCAACAAATGTCTTCTTCTTCTTTTGTCATCTCACTGATACTAGGTTGTAGCTCAGTGTCATGGTTTTCTGTATTTGTCTAGCACTTTTCGGACAGCGTGGATGATGGATTTGTCATAATTTTAAAGGTTTCCGCTACACCATTTATTCACCTCTTTCTTGATCTTCCTCTGGCCTTCCTCCCTGATGTTCTGCTGTAAAAAAGTCTCACATGCAGTTTGGTCTGGCTGCATTCTCACATGATGGGTGAACCATTTCCTTCTTTCTTTATCTGCCCATATAATCCAGACATAGTCTTATTCCAACTTTCTCTCTAATGGTGGTTTTTGTAACCCTGTCCCTTCTTCTTCCCTAATCATTTCCAGCTAATGTAGTGATATCAATCAGTAGAATCAGTAATGATATCAATAATGATCCAATCAGTAGAATCAGTAACGATATCAATAATGATATCAATCAGTAGAATTAGTAACGATATCAATAATGATCTCAATCAGTAGAATGGAGAAACCTCATATTTATGTTTCATGCAAACAGTATTGCTTTATGATTAAGCATACATAGATCAATGATATAGCACATACAGAGAGACTCAAAGATGGCCATAAACAATATAAAAATAGTGTGAACATAAATGTCTAAACAAACAAACAAAACCCACTCAAGCTAGGATAGTTCTACCCACAGGTGAATAACAAAAATCTTACCATCAAAGCCTGGGTTCAGTGAGAATACACAAACAGCAATAAAAAATTCCATTATAGATACTGCTATGTAATGAAATTAAGTTTTATGAAGTTGGGGGTGTCGGTCCATGCTTCAGACCCCATCCTGGATGACCAGGGTGTCTCTGTATTCGACCCTTTGGCCTGTCCAGTTTGGGAAGCCCTGCTGGTAGCTAAGCTAGTGCCAGCATAACTCTCAAGGTTATTAAGAAGCGCAAACCCCCCCCCCCCCCCCCCCCTCCCCTCCCCGGCAAGGTATCACTACAGCCTAGTTATTTCTGTTCTGATTTTCAACAGATCTGGGAATTTGAATGTGCTTGCCTAACATACTCTTTTTTTTGTTTTTTTTGTTGTTGCAAAAGACAGACAAGGATTTCTTTCCTGAGGGTACACAATGGTATGCAGTACCAGCACCTTTTTAAAGGCATCCTTAAAATAGGCGCTTTGTGCTGCGTACCAGCACTTTTATCAGACACCTTGTGGTGAGTACTGGTACAGGGAAAAAAACCAAGAAGAACGTAAAGGACCATTGTGAAGCTAGTGGCGCACGGGGCATTTGGTGCTGGACTCAGTTTTATAGACAACAGATATTTGAGGGTGATCTGGTCGACAGCAGGCTTCCGATGGCACTTCCTGGCACCCATTTCAAGCTGGATTGACCTCACAGCCAAGGTCCTGCCCCCAATCCACCTGGTGCAGATTCCAACCTATCAATGCACTCGGAATGTCCCAACATGTGCTCTGCCCACCTTCTCAGTAGCCAAACGAAGAGTTCCTGTACTGACAGTGCCTGCTTCAACCTGATTAAAAGTCTGCCTGACCCTCTCCAGTGCTCAGTGCTGAAAACCCTCGAGACTCTTTGCCCCTTTCTAACCGAACCAGTCTCTCAAGGTTTGGACATCCCTGGGTTTTCCACTGCACTGTCTACCCAGTCCCAGAGAACCCCCACCCCATCACAGTTCCCCGCCCTGAGGAGCGGCAGCAGTTAATCCATCAGCCTGCTTAATGCCTAGAACATCCTGGGCAGAAGATCTACGATTTGCTCTCAATCTGAGTCACGCCAAACAATATCTGCCACTCAAAATGTAGAACACCAGTCTGAATCCCTTGAAGCAAGCTTTATGAGTTCACCATAGTTGCCACACGCTGAACTGCACCAGCCTCCAGCCATAGAAAGCCACAATGACCGTCTCACCTTCCATTCTCATACCTCATGCTGTGACACCACATGTGGGATCCTCCCTCTTAAAACATCCATCCATCCATCCACCCTTGCAATGAAAAGTCCCTTCTTCTTACAGTCCATGGCATGTGGCTTTGGTAGTCATGATTATCCACAACTGTCTGTCTCGTGTACTCTCAATCGGTTCTGAAACAGATGATCTTCCATAGTCCTCGCGGTGTGGCGTTGGTAGTCATGTCCATCCACAACAGTCAGTCTCGTGTACTTTCAATCGATTCCGACACAGTCGATCTTCCACTGTCCATGCCGTGTGGCGTAAGTAATTAAGTCTATGCACAACCTTATGGCATGTGTACTTTCCGCCAATTCTGAAAGAGATGATCTTCCATAGTCCATGCATTGGTAGTCATGTCTATCCACAACCTTATGGCATGTGTACTTTCAATCAATTTTGACACAGATTTTATCTTCAACAGTCCATGCCCAGAGGTGTTGGTGGTCATGTCAATCCACAATCTTCTGCCTTATTACTTTCAACTAATTCTGACACAGAGGTTTTTCCAAGCCATGATGTCAAACTGACTAGTTTTTATCTGTCTTCCTCTACCTCTTTTGAACAGACCCTGCCAACAGCAAATCCACTGTCAGCATAACCTCTGGGGGACACTGGAATATCCAAGCCCCTCTAACACTGCCACTGGAGACACATCACACAGACAAGACAAACATGCCAGGTAAACCCACCTTGAGAGTCTGTGAAAGAAAACAACGCCTGGCGGTAAGGGTTAGGGACACTTTTGTCACAAGTACAGTGGCTAACCAGGACGAGGATGAAAAGCAGGCTCTGGTTGGCTAACAGTGTATCGGAGAGGTCCACTTCTGACTTCTTTCCTCGACTGCCCATTCCCAGAGTAACAACCGACCACAGGCTTGCTGAAAACACCAAATTATTTGCATGAATAGTACAGGGTATTCAAATTCTTGATAAATGCTTTCTAGTTTTGTTTAGGACCTTGTAACTCTTTCAGTTAAAGGTTAAAGTCGAGAAGACTGACTTTACTGCACCGCACATATCATATATGGCTTGGTCTCTCTCCACAGAAAGACTACCTGCCTGCCAAGAGCGCTGCCAAAAGCACTAACTCCGTAGCTCTGGCAATGATCCATAGGAATCTCCGTAAAAATTGCACTCGTGAACTAAACAGTACACTTGTGAAATGAACCACAATCTTTAGAGCGCAGGGAAAATGGCATGACCACGTTGCCACAGAACTCTTTCAATAACATGCTTAAAGGGAGATATGTGAAGTGGAAAATAAAGCCATGATGAAAAATTGGGAATTAGATTCAAAGGGCAACATACACATTCATAATGACAAACTGAGGAAGCCAGATTTCTTTAGTCTGTTCTAAATAAATATGAAACATATAAAAGCACATTACGCTGTGTAGTGAAATCATTTACACACCAGCGCCGTTCAGGCTGAAGGAGTATTGTTAAAAACGAATCACAGCAATGTATGTGTCTCATAAGCGCTTTGCACCCATATTCAGCAGCTAGCGCAGGATCAAAAACCAATGGTGCCAGCTGCATTGTGATTATATGTGTGTGTCTCGACTTTCCTCCGAGGGTTTTTGCTGGCTATATTCTCTCCACTGCAGCACTCCCTCCAGGCCATGAAAATCTGACCACTTTCCTGAATTTTGTGTTTGTTTCTTTCTGTTTTTAAACATAACAGTTATTTTTTTTTTATAGTATAGTCGACACATCGACTACAGATATTCAAACAAAAATATACATATTATTCAGTTCTGGCAGGTTTTCTAATTTACAATTTGTCTCCAGGCAAGTGGCAAACAGGACTTTCTCTCTGATTTTCAACAGAGATGGAATCAGTAATAAAACCACTCATAGATTCAGCACCCCCCCCCCCTTTTTCCATAATTCACACTCATTGATTCATCCAACTATTCACTCAAACAACTTATCTACCAATCCTTTCTTCAGTTCACAAACCAAACCACATATTCATCAATCCACACAGCCTCTTCTTCAATCATCCATGAAAACATGTATCAAAACAGCTGGCAAACAACTCATGCCTTCACTTACTTAACCACCTCTCTGCTTACTCAACTACATATGCAACCACTTTCATCAATCCACTCATTTACCCACTCCATCACTTATTCACCCACTCAAACAGTTATCAACCCATCAACCAATATACTTCCCGCTATGGGTTTCGGGTCTCCATTTTGGGGGAATAAGAACAGACCTACTCCCACCCCCTCCTCCCCCAGACCCCTCAATACTTATGTCCAAAAGGGTTACTATTTAGAGGTCGGGTTGTTTCCTTCGAAGTCAGAATGCATGTGATTGAGAGGTGAGGAACCAATAATCTGCATTTAAATTAGCCAGATCTGTCAAGCAGATGTGCATATAAAACTTAGGTTCTGCAACAAGACCAAAGTCCAGAAACGGATGAACGTTCCGATAAAGTTTGCAGCAGGATAACAATAAGAAGAGAGAAGCAAACAGAACAGCAAGACTGATTAAAAAAAGGATGGACAGAAAGGCAACTGCAGATCCCCTCCCTGGCACAACACTCATTCCCTGTCCTCACTGTCCAAGAACTTTTCGAGCCCGCATCGGCCTTGTCAGTCATCTTCGTACTCATACTTGATGAAAAAGAGTGGTCATCATCATCTTGAAGTACAAAACAAACAAACGCACGCACGCACACACAAGTACCCAATTCATTAATCCAATCAATCAACCAACTGTTCACTCAATCAGTCATCCATCCATCCATTCAATTCAACATAAACAACAAATCATTCTTTCACCTTTTAACTTATCACCCATCCATTCTAGTAGCAAAAAAAAAAAGTATCTTAACACATCAGTGGAGCACATGGCATATGAGGCTAGACGTATTTTTTATAGACCGCCTTCATTTCTCAAGACTTTACCTAGTACCCATTTAAGGCTAGATAGCCCTGACAGCCCAGGTCTTGCCAGAAAAAATGCCAGCTTCATGCAGATTTGAACCCTTGCAATGAAAACACCCTCCTTCTTATAGTCCATGCCGTGGGGCACTAGTAGTCAGACTATTCACACCAGCACGGCAGATAAGCATTGATATGAAATCACTTACATGCTAAAGAAATCACTTACATGCTAAAGCTGCTGTGGCATTGTAGATGAGACCCCCATCATCGGAGTGTCCTCGGTACAGCTCAGCGGGACACTTCTCGTGGTTGAGGTAGTTCCACATTAACACCTTCATCAGCACTGGTGCATGAATAGCACTAGAAACAACAACAACAAAACAGTGTTCACAGCTGACAAAAAATAACAAGAATCCTTCTTCTGCTCAGGATCCTCGCCGGTGCTACAGAGCCTGTGCACTGAGCTGAGCTTCTTCGGACTCAGACTTGAGTTGGAAGAAGAACGGAGCACTTATGGGTTACTACCCGTGTGCCATGATGTTGATCCGTTTTTCAAACCTCAAACCTTCTTCTGCTCTTTATGTTCTTGCAATGAAGCATAGGCTTTCAACCAAAGGTTTGCAAAACTTGTCATGTTGGTTACACATTTTTAGACATAATTTTGCGACACGGTAAATTCAGTCTGCTAGCAAACCAGAGACAAATCTAACCCCTAATGTGCTGCAGACACGCAGTAAATTAGAAGTAAGACTAAAGCTATGGGAGAGAACAAAACAAGTGTCAATGGACCAAGAGGTGAAGAAAAGACGCTGGCATTGAATAGGACACACAATGAGAAAACCTGAGAACAGTATAGCTAGAATGTCTTTGCACTGGAAGCTAATGCTCTTATGTTTTTATGCTCTTGCCATCGGCAACACAAAGTAGGCAAAAATACTGTAGTGAACAGTGAACCGGACCACAAGGCGTTCGTCACCCGGTCACCACGCAATCTGGTATTTAGCCAACTATGCTAGAGAGCCGGGCAAGGTAATTTTGTAAAACGCTATGTGCTATATCAAATGGAGCCACCGTTTCTCTGTGTACCCCGCCTAGATCTTCTTTAGCATGTCATTAAGTCCCAGAGAAAACATGCATGGATGAACTCCTGAGTTTTCAACCATTCTAGGGCTGTTGTCACAGTCATGACCTCCATTGTCATGCTGCTGGTGATAGAAGTGATGCTTTCGAAAATCGCACTTAACCTCCCTCACCTGGATCTACATACCAGATCATGCTGGCGTAAATGGTAATGAGCGAGCGGCCCAACTGGCAAGCAATGCACCAAAAAGTGGGAAGAAGCATGGACAGAGCAGATATCATCATCGCTGTTCAGACTGACCTAGTAGAAAATGATAAATCTCTGACACTAACATGATTGTGTGACATGGGAGTGGCGGATGGTGAAGCACATCTTTGCTGCCTTCAAGGCCGAGACAGGAGGCATTTTAACCAACCTCTCATGGAAACAATTAGTAGAAGTACCTTGGAGTGGCTGCTGCATCAGAGGACTGAGCACGCATGAGAATGCCCATTGTGCATTGAAGTCGACTATGATAACATAACATAACTTTTGGTAACAACGGTCCTGAAATCCCATGCTTTAACTGTGGAATTCTTTAGTCAATGTTAGTCACACCCGCTATCGCCACGGGCTATGATTTGCATGCCTTCCCATAATACAATATAGCACTATCGTCTAAAAAGACAGAAATATGCCAAACAAACAACAGCAACAACAATGAATACAAACCATTTTCCCTGCATGAGTATTCGGTAGACAGCAAACTGGCTAGCTGGCTGTGTGCGGAACATTTGTATGGAGGACAAGACCAGTAACGTATTCAATGCCTCAAGGTGTAGTGCATAAGTGAAGTTTCTGTGGAGTAGTTGACAAAGAGTTAACTACAGTGTGAAATTCCTGTGAAGTTTTTGATAAAGAGTTAATTGCTGAGTGAAATTCCTGCGGAGTATTTCATAAAGGGTTATATTTATTTCATTAGTGTTAAAATCATATATAGTAAGAGGCCCCTTAGAGCATTTGATAAAGAGTTAATTACTGAGTGAAATTCCTGTGGAGTATTTCATAAAGGGTTAATTATTTTGTTAAAATCCTATAAAGTAAGAGGCCATGAGGAGTATTTTTAAAAGAGTTAGAGAAGTTCCTAAGAGTTAACTACTGTGTGAAATTCCTGAGTAGCATTTGATAAAGAGTTAACTAATGTGTGAAATTCCCGTGTAGCATTTGATAAAGAGTTAACTACAGTGTGAAATTCCTGTGGAGTGTATAATAAAGAGTTAACTACTCTGTAAAATTCCTATGGAGTATATGATAAAGCGTTGACTACTCTGTGAAATTCCTGTGGAGTATATGATAAAGAGTTGACTACTCTGTGAAATTCCTGTGGAGTATATGATAAAGAGTTGACTACTCTGTGAAATTCCTGTGGAGTATATGATAAAGAGTTGACTACTCTGTAAAATTCCTATAGAGTATATGATAAAGAGTTGACTACTCTGTAAAATTCCTGTGGAGTATATGAAAAAGGGTTGACTACTCTGTGAAATTCCTGTGAAGTATTTGATAAAGAGTTAATTACTGTGTTAAAATCCTATAAAGTAAGAGGCCCTGTGAGTTTTTGAAAAAGAATTAGTTGGATTCCTATGGAGTATTTAATAAAGAGTTAATTGCAGTGTAAAAATCCTGTGGAGTATTTGAAAAAAAGAGTTGATTAATATGTTAAAATCCTGTGAAGTAAGTAGCCCTGTGGAGTATTTGACAAAGAGTTCATTACTGTGTGAAATTCCTTGAGTATTTGGTATAGTTCCTTATTATGTTAACTCTCTTGTCCTGAGAAGATCTATCTAGTCACTTCCAGTTATGACACGGTCCTGTGAACGCCGATATATCACCACGTCTGCAGTGACCTGTTCTCAAAAAGTATAAACTCCTTCAAACTAATGCTATACTCAACTTTTTTCAACTCTAATGTCAAATCAGTATTGTTGTATGGAGCAGAGACATGGAGAACAACTAAGGCAATTACTAATAAACTACAAACATTCACTATCTGGTACCCCTGCAGAATACAGGGAATTAAATGGTATGATAGAATCACTAATGTAGAATTCTGGGAGAGAACGAAATAAGCTCCACTACAGCGGTTCTCAACCTGTGGGTCGTGACCCTTTTTTGGGTTGAACGACCATTTCACAAGAGTCGCCAAAGACCATTGCAAAACACACATTCACTGAAGTTATTAAGTAGCAACTAAATTATAGTATGTCTGGGGGTCACCACAACATGATGAACTGTATTAAAGGGTTGTGGCATTAGGAAGGTTGAGAGCCACTGCTCCACTGGACCAAGAGGTGAAGAAAAGACACTGGTGGTGCATAGGACACATCTTGAGAAAATCTGCGAACAATATAACTAGAATGTCTCACTGGAATCCACAGAGGCAAAGAACTAAAGGAAGACCAAAAAAACACATGGAGAAGGGACCTATAGAGTGAAGTTAAAAAGATGGGGAGGACATGGGGAGAAATGTATGTGATAGTGAAAGATGAAATGATTTGGCATGAGTTGGGCCTATGCTCCACTGGGAGCTAGAAAGGCAGAAGAAGAGAAACTCTCTAGGTTTTATGTGCACCCTATGCAGTGTTAATATTTCCAGATATGAATATAGAAACTAAAAATAGCATTTAGATGGCTTCCGTATGACCCCAATGCCAAATTTACATGTTAGCCTCAGTGATAGAGGTCACAGGGTCACTGTATGAGTCACCCAAAAATACTGTTTTTTCGGCCCTGTGGAATGTATTCCATTTAATGCTTCACTATGTTCATGTTCATTGACTGCCCCTCTATATATCTTTAAATATTTCAACAACACAAAACTTAGAAATGTAGATAAATCCAATATAAACATTGTATTTATGATTTGGGATAGAAGGACGTTTTGAAATTGGAGCAAGCTGATGTATTTATCTACATAAAATTTAGAAATGTACATAAATACATCAACTTGCTCCAATTGTAAAACACCCTGCTATCCCAATAGAGACAAAAAGACAAATTATAAATACAATATTTATACAGACTTTAGGTGACCAATGCCAGACTTGGACATTGACAAAAGAACACTAAAGAAAAACTAATCACCTGTGAGATGAGATGTTTGAGAATGGCTGTGATTAATACCAGAAATGATTGAGTGAGAAAAGACGTGATCAAAAGAACAGTTGGAACAACACACATCGTCAAATTTAATGAGAAACAAAGAATGAAATGGTCTGCCATCTAATGAGAATGAAACCAACAATGCCAGCAGCAAGAGCGTACAACCTGAAAATTGAAACATCAAGAGTCAGGGGAAGACCGAGAAGAAGATGGATTGAAGGAGTCACTGACACCTAGAGACTGCATAACATCACGCCATATCAAGCGATCGAGCTCACCTGATCGTCTGATGAATTGCAACGCCTAGAGGCTATGCTATAATTGATAGAAGAAGAAGATAAATACATATTTTAAGAATATTTATTAGTGACTTGTGCTTAAAGGATCTTTTCTTTCTGTGAATTCCCACAGGTTCCTACTCATTTTATTTTAGCATTTGTGAGGGTGAAAGGGGCAAATTAATGTGTAGAACGTAATAGTTAATTAGTATGGAAAAATTCTGCAAAGAGGCAAGGAAAGAGAGTTAGTGTATGTCTAGTTAATAGGAAACTTATAAACTCCCCCACTTCCCCTCCACACACACACAAACGAGATCTACTTCTTTTTGTACCCCCCCCCCCCCCTCCCCTTTCCCTGTTTCATTAAAAAAGGGGTGCTTGGCACATTGTCCTATGGTTTACAGCTAGGCTGTGATACTGACCATTTGGGTCAGCACTGTTTATAGATATCTTCATTCTTTCATAAATTGATGTATATTGATCGGCACTCATAGAAAGGATATGTCCGGTGTGCAGTGTTGATTCTTAAATCAGGAACCAGTAGGCTGTCTAGTGTGTCCCCCTCTGCTTCTTTCTACAAGTGCCAATCAATATACATCAAAATGTGAAGAAATGAAGCTGACTTCACCAAATCTTCACATGCAGTCAGAAAAAATAATCCTCAACTGGATCTGAGTCACGACAGAGGTTAGGAGGCCAGTGCAACATCCATGTCGCTAGATTCAACAAAAGTATTACTTACAGAACTGGTACATCCACTACTAATTCCACAAGAGCTGTGAGGAACTCTTCAGCTTGGGACCCTATCTCTGCTGTATCATCAGCAGGGCTACCTGTAAAGGTACACAATGACAACACAGGACTGTTTATAAAATTTTAACCCTACCAGACCTGAGGCTCTAAACCTAACTGTCCCCTATACCTGGGCTCCTGTGCTTTAAAGAGAAAATCCAACATGATATAGAAAAATGTTAGTTACATGCAAACAAGCGGTTAGAATAAGACGGAACGGGCACATTGTAGAGAATACCTTTCATCTAGCGTCAATATTTCTCCTTTGTGTGCCAATCCACCCAGGAGGATGAGCTTTGTTTCACACATTGGTACTTCTTGTAAAGTGAGCAGATGTTGCAGTTTGAGGGCCACCCATTTTTCTCTTACTATTGATCTAGCTCCAGAAAGTTCAAGATTCTCCTCACTAAAGATCTCACTGTCTCTGTCACTTGAACTGGAAACGTACTCTTGATTAAATTCTTTGAAAAGCCTAGACCTACTTTGCTTTCCTGATGAAGTGTTTGGTTCATTAGCTGCTTGTTTCATCGTGAATTTTCAAAATTTATTCACGTTAAACCACACAAAGTCAATTCAAGCGCATGGGGGCAGACATTTGCAATGACTAACCATGAGGTTTGACCACGACTGGTTGGTTATTTTTACTTTGTGACCCATTTTTTTCAGGTACCTGGTAAAGTACTGAAAATTAGGTACAGCGGTATAGAGACAGATTAGGAAATTACCGAAAAATTAGTACAGCATTCTGGTAGGGTTAACCCTTTCATCCCTGTTGGGTCCTACATCCCATAAATGTCACTTTTCAGACTTGCCCATACTGACCTGTTTACGAGATGATTAGTTAATGCTATTGGTTAGGTCCCCACCTGCACAAATATTCAGGACATCAGGACATGTCTCTGGGCCACGGCGAAAGACGGTCTGTCCCTGGGTACGAAAGCGTGAGTTGTACCAATATATTTTTTAGCGAAGTTATTAAGGACTAGTGTAAAAATTGTGTTTTTACTGATTTTTTTATGTGTTCCTGGGGTGAAAAGGTTAAAAGTCAAGGATCGGCTGGAGTGAAACAGGGATGCATTTTGCCTCGCCTGCTATCTGGGTGATGAAAAATGTGTTGGAAACACCGTCACTGAGTGGGTGACGGACACACATAAGATCTCTATTTTGCTGATGATATTGCTCTGCTAAGTAACAACAATAACATGTAAAGAAAAACAGATGATTTAGCAAAAATAACATATACTAAAAACAACAATAAGAGATCAAGCAGATGTAACACTGAGAAAATATGACTAGATGTGTATCCAAACCCACCACTGTCAGGCTGACAGGTGGAGCATCTAGCCATTATACCACCGCAGTTCCCTCAGATGTACTGGCACCTCCCCCCCCCCCCCCACACACATATACATATATATATATCCTGCTTCAGCTAGGGGACTGAACTGGAAAACACATTCTTGGCAGGCAAACTCACTTACATCTAAGCCACCATAGCTCTATGATGCAGTATCAAGATCAGGGATATTCAACTGGCGACCCGCAGGTCAAATATGGCCCGCAGAGGCCGAGCAAGTGGCCTGCTGATATTTTCGTAAGTGGTGCTTGGACCTTTGGCCAGTGACAATCCCTATTTTCCTATATTTTGTCCGAGTAAACTTAGTTAAACGGCTCTCATCTAGGTAATAAGTCATAATGAAGGGAAACCCTATCTTACCATCTGGCTTCGGTGGGAGGCAGTCGAACTGGTGCAGCAGAAGTTCCTCGCTGAGGTGCTCCACAAAGTACTTGCAGAGACTTCTTATGATAAACAAGGCATTGTATGTCTGCCAGATGAAGATGTTGCTGCGGAACATAGAAATATATAGAGAAACTTCAGACCAGACAGGATGCTTATATGAAAAAAACAAAAACTCAGATCAAGGCAGTCATTAGAACCACCCTCTACGGTTCCCATCCTGGACACAACACTGAAAACCAATCAACCTCTTTACAGGAAAGAAACAGACAATTATATTTTATACTGCATATTAGACACAGCAGACTCTGCAGCAGTGGGGGGAACTTTCCACGAACTTGTCCCCGTGGTGAGAGTTCCTTTCCCTCCCATTCATGCTGCAGATGGTCACACTGCCTGTCCTATGCTGTGAGGGTGTTATGAGATGGCTTCATTCGGCGTTCGCTCGCCGCATATTCTGTTTGTGGGAGGTTTTATGGTTGTGAGTCTCTCTAAGGCCCCTGTGTTCAAGAAGTACTGCAAGGGGAAAGCGCTGAAGGTGCGACTGTTCTTGAGTATCGGAAATGGGATGTTTTTGTATTTCTATGTACATTGGCGATGGCTTCACCCGAGAAAAAGATATACTAGCAGGGAGAATTGAAAGTAATAATATCAATAAGTATACAGGTACTTGATAATCTACGCAGAAGGGGAATGAGAATGAAAGAAGAAATGACTGCAGAAAGGATGAGAGCTAAGCATCTGAGAAGAAACAGACTAAACACAAATGTTGTTATAAACGGTCCTGAAATCCCATGCTATAATTGTGGAACCCTTTTCTTAATGCGGGCGGGTCTTGCTAGTCACACTCACCATCGCCATGGGCTGTGAGTCCCATGCCTCCTCATAGTGCAATATAACACTTTCATCTGGAAAAAAAAGGAAAGGTGCCAATCATACTCTATACGGCAATGGCTGCGGCATATAAACAGAATGAAGATAACAGAGAGAGACAAAAACTGAACAGAAGAAATGAACATTAGTTGAGGAACCGACTTCACTGCAGACAGGTAGTCCCATAGCTGCACTGTTCCTGTGCAAGTGGAGATCCTTCATCGTCCTGTTTGATAACTAGTGATAAACATATCAGTCCCAGTAAAATCTTGAAGCTCGCACATGCAAGGTAAGTGCATAAGGCAGCCCTTAGATGTGGCAACACTAGCAGTCCACCACCAGAATTTTAGTTCACTGGTGATGCAAGCAGAAGTCAGTTATGAAAGACACATTCAACCTGCAGTACTGCACAAGTACATGCCACTCCAAAATATAATCGGCCACCAACCACATTAGTGCAGTTCACAATACAAAGTATTCACAAAAGTAAAATGAAACACATTCCACATAACATTCACAGCTCACAGTATTGCACTTAGTTATATGTGAGTAGTCTCTGAAGGAGACAAGAAGTACTATCACCAACTCCTCATGGGAACAATCAATTGAGGTACCTTAGAGTGGCTGCTGCATTGGACGACCAAGCATGTAAATGAACGCCCCAATATGAAAGACACCGATTGTGATAATATAAGCAAAGACCAGAGTGGAAATATTTTATTTCAAACAAAACTGAGAAAGAAACATAATCCGCCTTACTCTTCACATTGTGCTGAAGCTTTTAACTCTGAGGCTCGAATGAGGAAGTTATGAATGAGTGACCGCAGATTTCCTGTGTGGCAGTTGTTCAAGGCAAAGTTTCTAGCGATGACCTCTGTCGATTCTTCTAGCAGCCTTGCGTCAGAACTTTGAGAAATAACAAAGACATGTTTAGTAATTAACAACAACAAGTGGACAAACTGTATTTTACTGACTACAAGACGTTACTGACTATAAGATGTTACTGACTACAAGATGTTACTGACTATAAGATGTTACTGACTATAAGATGTTAATGACTACAAGATGAGATGTTACTGAGTACAGGATGAGATGTTACTGACTATGAGATGTTAGTGACTATAAGATGTTACTGACTATAAGATGCACTTGAATTTGTAAGCAACTTTTCATAAAAATTCCATCAGACTTTTATATTTAGCCTATAAACATGCCCAACAAACTGATAGGGAAACTGTTAGCTGCAAATTCTAGAGGAAACCAAAAGATTGCATTACCAAAATCTAGTCTAGGTAAAATTTGCACCTTGGAGATCACAGGCCAGAGGAAA